ACTATATAGTTCAAATAATTATATTATTATCAACGTTTTGTAATTATGTTATTGACACTTAATATTAGCGCTGTACTTTGTATTTAATAATGGAAATAAAAATGTGGGGAAAAAAAAAAAAAGAAATAAAACGGTGTCCTGATGGCCCGATTGTTTTCTTCAAAACAAAATTCTTTTCAAAGGCCAGTTTGATATAAATTTCAGTCCTAAAAGGAACTCTTATTTTATGACTGACTTCCCTGCCTAGAATGATCCTGCAAATAGAGCGTGTTTGTTGCTATTTACGCTCAAGTTTTTTCTCCGAATACCCGCTATTTTACTGAGCCAGAATACGCACCCGCTTAGTGTGCTCTTATCGGAGTTCGGTCAGGTTCGTCAAACTCTTGTTTCCGATCTTTTTTGAGGCGAAAACCATTCTCGCGATAAGTCGTTTTCCATAATTGATCTTTACCAAATTTGCCCTTTCTCCAAGAAAGATGAATTTTGCTCCAATGTATTAAAACGTGTTTTAATTTTCATTTCTTTGCAGTATAATTGACGCGGGATTTGTTTTCGCCAGAGAAATGAGGAAGGTAGTTTGGTTAGCAGAAATGCTGTGGCTTTCATGGTTTTTCTGTTCAATAAGTTCCGGGCTGGACCCTGGAGAGCAGGCCAAGGTAACTACGGCTCTCGAAACTGCTCAGTTTGTACTGAATTCTATTGACGAAGACTATAAAGCTCAAGCAAAGGCCATCAGAGAGTTGCAGAAGGTTTCGGCTCAATCGAGAAGCGCTGAACTATTGGATAAGCAGACGAAATTAGCCAAGATCGGTTCCAAAGTTGGCAAAGCTCTCAAAGCAGTGCAGGCTGCATCTGCCATTGCAAGTTTTGTCTTTACTTTCTTCATGCCAAGTGAGCTCGATGTCATCACGGGCTTGATAAACAAACGCTTCAACGAAGTCAATAACAAGCTCGATCGTCTGGATGAGAAACTCGACGAAATAGAGAAATCTATCAAGGCGAATACCGCTTTCAACACTTTCTTGTCTGCCTGGATCAAATGGGAGTATAAATCGAGGAATGGAGCCAAGAAACTAACCAACATCCGTAAGCTAATGGGGACCAAAACACGAAGAATAGACCAAGTAAAGCTCGCCGAAGAATACGTTAAATACTATGAAAACAACAACTTGGACGGCAACCTTCTGAACCTCTACAGAATGGCAGCCCACCCAAAAGCTATCACCCAACGAAACATCTTCGATATATTTATTGCTCAATTTGGCTGCGATATAACGAAGCTGTCAGAGTTAATGATCCTCGTCAAAAACATAATGACCAGCGCTGCCCAGCAGAAAATGACCTACTATTATTTCAAGGGCTACCAAAGCAGAGCCAAGAAAAGTTTCAAAGACATCCAGACGTACTTTTTCAAAATTCGTCGAGCCTTTGACGATCGGGTCTGGCACTGCAGAAGAAACTCTCTGAACCACGCTAAGAGGGATGCTAACAAGATTTTGAAGAATATGAGGGGATCTGCACAGGAAAGCATAGTTCGAGCCATCTTTAATGAACTTAAAGTCAAGTACCCCTGGTACACCTGGGCTGTGGCAGCAGTCAAGAATGACCGTCCAAGGATTCACGGTCTTGAGTTGAGAGGCAGTACATACTTTCGGTTAGATGACCGGTCGGATCCCAAGAAGGTAAAGGTGTATTTTGTGGTCCACGAGGACACAAAGTCGTCTGCAAACTGCATTGACATTACACAAGCCAAGACCTTACTGGTTTTCAAAAAATGCGACGGGTGCAATTCCGACTATATCTACGCCGCTGATAACATTCTGTCCAAGAAGAGATGTGGAAGCTCGACGCTTGAACGGGCTGCTGATATTAAACAACAGTGCTCCGGATATCGCCACAGTACCATCTGTGCCAATAGCGTGAGAAAGAAAATCCGAACGTGGGCTTTTATCGCATCAGCAGTCAGCACTGTCAATGGCATATGTCAGTCGGACAGCTGCAATAGTCACGGTCAGTGTAGGCAACTACCATTTACGAAAACTCATCAATGTATCTGTGAGAAGAACTACGAAGGAGAATCGTGTGAAAAACGCATATACTTTGACGACACCATAGAAAAGCTGATCGCGGAATTAAGAAAAACTTTCAAAGTTGTAAATTACGTTCCTACCACTGTAGACGTGTTCTTCTCCATAAGGTCGTTGTCCAAGAAGTTAAACGTGGTTTTACAGAAGATCAAGGCCTCCTTTACTCATACGAACAACATCATCAAGCATTCTCAAAACATTTACAACGTCGAAGACATAGCCGATCTCTATGCAAAACTGCAGAAGAACGAGATGACTTTTGATCAGTTTGGCCGAAAAATCGATAAGTATTTGCAGACAGTTTCTACCTATAAGCTACAGAACAGATTGAAAAAGATGATTCTTGGTCAAGGTACTTTAGACACCCCTGGAAATGACATCTATAATTCGTACAAGCGAGAATACCTAAATCACAATGGAGGCGGTTGCTCGGCAAAGTACAATGAAGATATCAAGGGTTTCAGGGATAGCTTAGCCTACTTGGACCAAGCATTGGGAGAGGCGCTGTTACTGCATCAAAAGTGGTTGCTTGAAACCAAAGGAAAAACAGAAGACCTCCGCAAAAAGTACAAGAAAGAAGCAGAGTACATCCGAAACATCTTCAAAAGTCGACAGCAGAAATACAACCAATACTGGAAGAAATACAGCTGTGGTCTTGTTAGTGTTGATGGTACGAGTGTTTCGTGCAAGGACGAGCTGACCTTCGAAGGCATGACTGTAACTTTAAGGTGCGACAAGCAGAGGCGCTCGACTCCGGGAAAAGTTACTTGCAAGAGGATCGGCAATATCTTGAAATGGGACTCTCAACCAAAATGTAAATACCTTTGGGGAAATTTTGGTAGCTGGGGTCGTTGTTCCAAGACCTGCGGTGGAGGAGTCAAGTTCCGTTACAGACGTTGCTTAGGATCAAGCAATGTCAATAACTGCATAAGAGACCAGGGTGGATCAAATTACCAAACTACAAAATGCGAGACCCAAGATTGCTGCTCTGCTCGGTACGGGAAGTTCAGATGTTCGAATGGAAGATGTATAAGGAAAACCTGGCTCTGTGATGGAGATAATGATTGTCGCAACAACGATGACGAAAGCCGGTCTCGATGTCCAAACTTCATTCGATCGGGTGACCTGATAGCATTAAGAAGCAACGCCAGAAGAAATCAGTGGTTGAGCTGTTATTGCACTGTCAACTGTGGTGTTGATCGTTGCAAACTTCGAGGTTGTCCTGGTAGTCAAATGACAGGCAGCGATTGGAGATCGTGCAACAGTGAGACATTCATACTGTACTCGACACATTACCGTCCTGGGGAACCTGTTAGATATGGTGACTCAATCGCACTTTATTACGGTGCGGGCCACTGGCTGAGTTGCTGGGGTAGTGGGGGTGTTTGTCCGACGAGGAGTTGTCCCGGCTACGGCAGGTGGGATTCCAGAGATACAAGGAACTGTCGCGGGGAAAGATTCTGGATTTATTCACCCGAACGTGAAGGCAGGTGTTCAAGCGATACAAGAGTTGGTTGTCGAGGAAAGCCAATACAGAAGGGTGATAACGTCTTCATACAATATTCCATAAAACGCGGCCGGAGAGGGTATTGGCTGAGCCAAGACAACAAGGACATTAAAACCCGAACCTGTCCTGGCATTTACATCAGCAAATATGACAAAAGATGCAGAAGTGAAAGCTGGAACATTTTTGCCCGTTAGAGGTCATGTAGACGGCAGGACATTTAGGGCTGATGATGTGATTCGTTTTTTTTTTCTTTTGCAAACATTTAGGAACCTCCCGTTTTCACTATCATCATCATATCCATATCATATTCATATTTATCATGATTTAGCCGATTTAGGTGGTACGAACATCGTTGAAGGCGACAGGTTTAGACGGGAAGCCTGCGATAATAAATAAACTATTCTATTACACAAATTATAAGCCCAGGCTTATTCTAATGTGCATCACAAATTGAAATCAAACTCGGACCCAAATTACGACACAACTGATGTTTTCAGTAAATGCAACGTGTTACTCGTTGAGCACGACACTCAAATGTCGTGGGATTTTGAAACATGTCTTTAAAACTCCTCGAAAATCGTATGCTCAGGCAGTATTGAAAGAGTAGAGTTGCATGTGTACACGTGGAAGTTGCAAAACGACACCGTATCGTCTAAATCGGCTAAATCAAAATTCTTCATTTAAAGGGGCTATGTCATGGTTATTTTTCGGTCTTTGGGAACCCAACATTCGGGTTAATTAAGAATTAAGAACATTTTTATACTCAAATTGGTCTTAGATATCCAATAGAAAGAGAAGTAAAAGTTAACTTTTAAAGACGCCCAACGCATAATCGGTTTATAATGGTTCTTACTAGACAGGAAAGCTGAAACTTGAAAAACAGCGGCCCGCTGTTTTTCAAGTTTCAACCCATTTCCATGCTGACCATCTGTAGCATTATTTTAAGTTTCCATCTGTACAAACATCTCCTGTGGCTTGTTAAATTCATACCAAACACTCGTGACATGGCCTTTTTAAGAGTTTGCTATGTTTCATCTAAAACTATCCCACAGACAAGTAACACTCTTGTTACTCTTCCACTATGTTTTTGTTTTACTCTTTTATCAAATATTTTAAGTTGGGGTTGATAGACAGAGAACTAGCCCGACTGCGGTCCAGGTAAGGACTGTGGAACTACTAAGTTCCATCGTAGAATAACACTCTAAAACTCCAACCTGTTTGGGTTTAGGATAGACCAGCTTAGAGCCATTTGGTTGCCTTAGTTTTATTAACATTTTTGTTTTAAGAAGAAGGGACCACTTCGCAAAACGTACCGCCAGTAATTCAAGCATCAAGATTGATAGAGTGCTTGGAAGCAAACCGTTAAACTGACTGTCAGTAGTTTTGAAGACTAACATAGAATTTGAACTGAGCTGTTTTCGAATAGGTTAGTGATTTCAGCTCGAATAAAGAGGCCACCTTTTCAGTGGTGCAAACAACCATTCTTTGCATCGGGTTGCACGACTTCTAACCACCGTGGTTCCTTTCGCTTTAATTTCTGCTGTTACTGCACAAACGCAGTCCAGCAAGAACAAATAGACAGCTCGAATTCTCGATTCAAAATCTGTCGCCCAACAGGATTGTGACTTTTTAATCTTGGTGATTTTCTTAAGTTCAGTAAAAATGGGATAATTCCAATGATTTTGCTGATTAGCTGGAAATCTATTGTGTACTAGGTAGTATGTAGCGGTATAAAGTGGTGGATTAAATTCTCTCTAATAGGCAGCTCTCACTATAGAGTCATTTGACTAAAGCTACCAGAATTCATTTTGTTTTTCCTTCATCATTTAATTTTGTATTCCCAGCGGGGTAGAAATAACAATGGCTGTAGTTAGCACGAGAAAAACGAAACCCGAAGGATTCTGGTAGTTGTAGTCAACTGGCGTCATCACGCAAATGTCCTATTGATGATGACATGTACAAGCAATTATGTGTAGTTGGACTTGACCGGATTTGACGTTATGAACGGTCAACTGGATCGAATGATCAGCAATAAACTCGTTGACCACAATAAATAACTAGCGAATTTCATTGTCTCACGATGCGCTAATGGTGAAACGTTGAAATACCTCATGTAGGAAGACAACTACAGACTGTTTTTTTTTTTTAAGGCCAGGATAGGGCCACGCCTAGACAGAAGGAACCAGATGACATCATAATCCAACTGTCTTAGGCCCTGTCTACACAAACGCGCTTTTAAAACTTCCCTGTTTATATATTCCAAACGTTTGCGCTTTCGTTCAGGTACTTGATGCGTTTCAAAACTCTTACATTGTCGAAGGATGCCACTTTTGAGACCGTTTTAAAGATTTTCCATTTTCCATGTGTTCTAGCTGAAACTTTAAACTGCTGACCCCAGAATCCTTTAGTTTGCAAGGGATTTGGAAAACTTATTACATCATGAGCTTTTTTTACGCCTCCTGCAGCGGTTGGTTCCAACCACACATTTGCAGATATCGTTAAACTGCCAGGAGCGCAACTTGCTTGGGAGGTGTAAATGGGGGAGAAGAAGCGAGGATGTGAAGGAGAATTTCACTCCCAATGCCTGTTTACACCTGCTAAACAGGCTGCGAGGAGCCTCAAAATGTTAGCTTTCTGGCATGCGCTACGACTGCTTTTGATTTGTGCTCTCTCAATTTCCTTCACTTTTTGGCGTACTCGGCCACTTAGGTTATGTTAAGTCTCGCAATCATGACATTTATTGTAATAGAAAATGTTATCGCTTGTGGTTCATTATTATTATAACAACAACAACAACAACAACAATAATAATAGTAATAGTAATAGTAATAGTAATAGTAATAGTAATAGTAATAGTAATAGTAATAGTAATAGTAATAGTAATAGTAATA